GAGCAAGCAGTTCAGTAGGCAATCAGGAAGGTGTTCTGGGCCTCAAGAACAGAGAGAGTGATACCCTCAGTCGGTTGTTCCTAGACCAGGGGTCCAGGGATCAGAGGAAGATGCAGATGCAGGGCAGGGCGAGGGCAGAAATGAGGAAGTTCCAATGTGAGGACACCAACTTCTTAAAATACTTTATCTTTCCAGACAAGTCAGAAATCAAGATCACTGGGATACACATGAGGTGAGTTTTAAAGTAATTCATTTGCTCACTTATTTTTCTTTCAGGCTGCATATTACATTATGCTACATGTAATGAACAGACCACACTCACACGTAAAATAAATAGAAACACTGCCTATAGACTCCAATATAGTTTATTTACTTGCTTATTATATTTTTTAAATCTTCATTATTTTTCTAGTTTTTTTTTTCTTAATCCTCTATGAGAACATTGACAAATACTTTGGAATATTTGCAAACTTTGCTGTCATTTTCTTATTAGAATTCTATAAAAAATATCACCTTGCCAACATGAATTTATATTAAGACATTTTTAATGTTTTCTCTAAACAAATACAAGTTATTTGTTTTTTTCTTTTAATGAACAACTTTAAAAGGATGCATCAGAACAATGTTTCTCATTTCATTCAGAAGAGGCAATAACAAAATGTGACCTGAAGCACTATTAAGGTAATTGGAAGTGTAATTATTACAGAGAATTTTGAATTTAAATTGTCAGTTCACTGAACATGTTACTCAAATACCTGCCAATCTCTCTCCAAAGGTGTCAAAGGCAGTGATAAAAATAATTCCTGATGAATTGATTGAGAAGCTGCAGATTCTGAAGTCACGGTGTATTCAGTACATAGTATAATTTTATTTTTGAATTGTATGTTTCAACTCTTTCTAAAGACTGAATTGATTGTAATTTTATCTAACTATTTATTGGTAAAATCATAACCATCATATTGTATTTTCATTTGTGTGGCTTGGAGGTTATCAAAGCTAGGACATAACTACCCATGCTCCCTAAACGGAAAGTAAAACCAATTTTGATTCTAGAAGAATGAGTAAAAGATTTTCAAATGCAAGTTATGAAAAAATCACGAGCAGCCAGGAGGTGGTGGCATATTCCTTTCATCCTAGCACTTGAGAGGCAGAGGCAGGTGGGTCCCTGTGCATTTGAGACCAACCTGGTCTACAGAGACAGATCCAGGACAGACAGTGACACACAGAGAAATCCTGTCTTGAAAGATTTTAAAAAAGAAAGAAAGGAAAGAAAAAAATGTCGAGCATTTCCTAGAAGCAGAAAAAAACTTTTAAAATAAAATGGAAGAATTGTGAATAAAGGTAAAAATGTATCAAGGCAAAAAAGAGTCCCTGGCAACCGTGCCAGAATATCAATTATTCCGTTAGTGTTTTTTCATGTCACATGAGAACCCACATTCCTACTATTCATGAACAATCTGCGTGGACACAGACAGAAACACTATACTTTCTCACATTGTAACTATGACATCATACTTTGGGAAACTCAAAAGTTCAGCAATAATTTTAAATATTCTGGCATGCCTGTGAAGCCACTGCCAAAGAAGAAAGAGCGCCACCTAGTGAATTCCTCGAAGAATCTTCCCTACCAGTCCCCCGTTTGGTGACCTGGTATCTACTGTGCTCACACTTCTCTCAAGCCACTGATGCTAATACCAGAGGGAATGAAAGTCTCTCACCAGTGCTGTGCACTTTTATTTGGCATCCAGTGTCAGTAATGTCCATACGCCTTTGCATCTACCTGCTAAAATTCTAGGTACACTTCAAGACACAATCTAAAATTCTGCTCCCTCACTATGACTCCTGCACTGCCCTTTTCCCCAACCAGTTACTGCCTGTGGATTTTGTGCTTCTACTGCATTTTCTGTTATCCTCTTCTCTCATATGCATGTATATTACAGTCAAATGTCTGTGTATTTCATGCAACTAGTTTAAGGGCAGAATATGTGTATGATATGGTAAATACTCAGTTTTTGTTGCACGAATTAAGGAATTAATCTTTAGAGGTCATTTTCCTTTTGTATTACTATTACCTGGTACTCTGCTAAAGGAACACAGATTCTAGAATATGTTTGGGAAGTGTCAAAGATATTATGGAGTACTCCCATCATATCTTTAATTTGATACTTGTTGGCTAAATGACCATAAAAAGATTTTTATCCACTGTGAACTTCCTTACTTCTGGATGATAATGTATCACTAACTAATAGACTCAAAATATTAACCATTTATTACTTTATACAACTAAAAACATACTCATTAGATACTCAATGAGTAAATGTATTGATGTAAACAACGCCATGTAAGGAGATACACTAGAAAGATGAGCAGCCAAAAACAAACCCGGATTGACACAGAGAAACCCTTATCGCAGACACTCCCTCACTGTTCGACCTAGACTACACAAACTCCTCATCTCTCCTTCTCAAATTCATGCCACTGTGTGTAGGAGGTTCAGTAAGAAACAAGGACCAAGAGATGAAAAGTGCAAACAGCTTGACATGTATAAGAAGAGATGGCTATACAGACGGAGGGGTCGCAAGGGCTCACAGCAGAAGCAAAGTTGCAGGATTCAGGCTTGGTTGATGCTAATATCAGGGAGGGAACACTCTTGGGGAGGCTGAAAGAAGCCACGTGTGGTGGTAAAAGAGAGGTCCTATCACAAAAATGAGGCAGTAGGAGGAATTCCAACTGGTTCTGGACTCTTGCAGTATCTTTAAAAACAGTGAAGTCTTTCCAAGAGATCGAGGGTCCCCCAAAGCTTCACAACCATCAAAGCTGCCCTGAGCCAGCAGCTTTTGGGGTCTTGTATGGCAAATTCAAAGAATAAAATTCACAGACCACAGATGGCAAGTTTTAGAGAGATGTTTACTATGGACTCAAAGGTAGATACTGAAGAGAGAGTGTACAGAGCTCTAATATAGCCGAAAGGCCCGGGAAATAGGGCACTATTACGTTGTTAGTCTAGAGGCCATTTAAAGAACTCTGGGTATGGAAGAGTGGATCAGTTGGTCAGTCCACTTGGCCCACCCAGGTATCCAGGTGTCCCCTGTCACTTTCAGACGTGTAGGCAAGCATAACCTACAGTCAGAGGTGCTCACTGAGGAGCCGCCAAAAGAAAAGCTAGAACTTTCTTTGGCATTTCTGGCCTCCAGCAGGGACATTCTCAGAACGGCTCCTTGACCGCCTTCTATCTGCTGTTCTTCCCAGCTAGAAAGACAAAGGAACAAACTCAAGCGAGAAGGCAAGTGCGTTCTTCTTAGAGTCAGACAGAAAATTTAGTTATGGGGCGGGGTGGGGGTGGGGGCGGGGAGAGGCACCAGCAGAACGGCTTTGGCAGAGCAGGAATACGCTCCATGTTTTGAATGCTCTGGACTTCAGAGGAAAGAGGAAGGTAAATTTTTACAACTTCATGCTGAATGTTTCTCAAACATGTCACACGTGTCTAAACACTCCAGCATAAAGGCTGCATCTCATGCCGATTAATTCAGACTCTCGGGAGGCTGAAACTGAACTTTGAAACTCAAAAAGACCCACAAAAGGTTGAAGAGCCCTGGGTTAGTCTGAGACAACTACCCTAATAGGCTTCTTGTGCCGACTCCTAGACTGGTTACCAACCCAACAACTGCCTCTCAGCTTTGGACCCCAGGAAGCTAGGTATAGTCAAGATATTCAACATAATGCTGAAGTAAAAGAAAAGACTGTGCAGAGATGGGATGTCTCACCCCCAAGGACCAGTGCCAGACTAGAGCAGAATATGAACCTGTGAGACCAAAATGAGCCATCTTAGAAATAAGACCAAAATGCTTTCACCCTAAAATTAAGGCCTAAGATTTCTCCTTTTGGGAATAGGCCATTAGTTACTGAAACCAGTCAGTTCAGATTCCAGAAACCGGGAAGTGTAAAAGTACAGAGTCACAAGATAGTGACGAGGTAATGCCTGCCGGACTATGGAATGTCCTCTCCCTGGTTTCCAGGGTAACTGACCACAGAAATGCCCCCACCTGAGGGCAGCCAATGAGAAATGGTGGTGGGCAACCACTCCCTTAGAAGTAATTTCTAGAAGTTCCTAGAAGCGAGCCAATCAGAATTGTACCCGTACCAGCACCCCTAAATGATGTAACCTTGTGATTTTTCCCTTTAAAAACTGAGCTTGCAGACAGGAGGGCACTTCCTCCAGCCTCCACTGCATTGGATGTATTGGACGAAGTCCCTGCCTAGGCTTGTATATCCAGAATTAAACCTTGCTTTTGCATTCCGGCATGCTCGTCTTTGGTGGTCTTTCTGGGGGTCTCTCTGGGGGTCACGATCTGGGCATGACAAACCTAACCTGGCCTTTCTAGGAACCAGCACGCAGGCTCAGCTGTGCATAAGGACAAGGAGGAAAGGCTCACAGTATCAGCCTGCACATGCCCCAGAGTGGAGAAGGCAGCAATCCTTGCTGACCCTACACCACAGTAACAATTATTGTGTGCCACACTTTGTCTATGTCTTAGTTAGTATTTCTTGTGGGAAAAGGGCTGTACATGAGTGACAAGTCGAATGTAAGTTCTGTTTTTATTATTTTTGTTTGAATTCTGAGTGGTAAGCAGAGAGCTATAGGAATGCTGCGAAAAGCCTAGCACAGAGGACATCTGAAGGAAGAAAAATTTCATTGCTGATGAAATATAAATATATTTCCTTTCTCCCAGGTTCTTATTTGTGTAGTAAAAGGGTTATTTGAAGACACTTCTTTTTTTTAAAAGAAAAAAACAAAATTAGTAAAGAATAATTTAAATTATAAAATTTAGACAACAGTGTACTTTTCAAACCTATCTTTATTATTATTTTAAAATATGGATATAAGATTTACTTTAACATGTAAATATTTATGATTAATTTTGCTTCTGGGGTTTTCTATTCTATCATGTATGACTCATTATGAATATGAAGACTCTTTCAAGAACTGAGTGAATAAATGATTCTCAATAGACAAAATAAATATGTATTAAGTTATGAAAAGCAATTACAAATGTTTATGTTATGAAACCCAAGCTTTTAGAACTTTTAAAACCAACTGTAGAATCCCCCATTGGAACTGTTATGAATTCACAATACTGTTGAGTTCTAGCCTGGCATAGGCTAGCCTTACTTTTAAATACTTCTAAACATACATGGTAATATTTTTGGAATCTCTATTTGAACACAAAATTTTCCGTGTTAAGAAGAGGAAATGGTCATTCATTTAGTTAACATAAAAGAAAAAAATCACAGTGAAACTAAGTGATCAGTGAATATAGGCAATATGGATTAGCCTCCCAAGCTTAATAAATGAGATTAGTGAAACAAGATCATATCCTGAGTACACTTATCAGAAACACAAACAGGCAAAACCTTCATCATTAGACATCATGCAAGGTATGGCTCAGCAGGAAAAGGCATGCTGCTGAGCCTCATGACTCCAGTTTGATTCCTGGGAGTGAGTGGCAGAGTAGGAGAGAACTGACTCCTACAAGTTGTCTTCTGACAGCCACACATGCTATGGTATGTACACATACAAAAAGACACACATATAAATAAATAGATAGAAGATAGACAGACAGACAGAAAGATAGATAGATAGATAGATAGATAGATAGATAGATAGATAGATAGATAGATAGATGGATAGAGATAGATAGATCAACAGACAGACATAGTGGTTTGTCTTGATAGTGGGAAAAACTTGCCCTTTCAGGGCTGCTATAATATTCATTATTTTGGATATAGGTTTGGTTATCTGAACATGGTCAGTTTAAGCAAATTCAATATAACATACATCTCTGCTAGATGTGTTTTTCTAAGAGCTTTGATAAAATGTTCAACCCCCACCAGAAGCGCCTCCACGTAGCATAATGGAAGAAATCAGAAGGAGCATGGACGGCCACTTTCCATCTTGCACTCGGTGTGCACCTCTAGGCTTACTCTCTATGTGGCCTTGAGAAATCACCTAATTTCTTTGGAACCAGGCTCCTTGGTGATAAATGTGGGTTATAAAAGCTTCATACTGCGGCTTCCTGCACACGTCTTGGTGACTGTGAACTACAGCTCCATCACACACCATTTTTCCTGTATGAGAAAGCATTAAAATGTTTCCTAACAGCCACTAGTATTGTAATATTGAATGTCTTGTTGTTATTTCTAACCCAATCGGTAGGAGTCAAATCACCTACCTGAAAACTTCCAATTAAATAGAAATACATGACAACAGTCTGACATTGGAACAGATCACCTCAGGATGGAAGGGTTTATCCCTTGGACATTGACCTTTACTTTAGAAGGCATATGCTTTCATATTACAGGCATTGCAAGAAGATAAGTTTTCAGTGTTTTCCAGATTAGGGAAAAAAATCAAGGAACTGATGGTCTTTATCTGAGTCAAAAGAGGAAATGACCTCATCAGAGATGGAAGAGACGTGGTCTTTGGAGAGGATGGTAAAAAGTAAGAAATCTTTGTAAGAAGAACATGCCAGTTAGCGGGGTGAATGCAGTAGCACTTGAGTAGCTTTTAATACTCAACTTAGGGAAAGCACTGATGTGAGAGAACTGAGGGACAGGGATCCTTCTGGGCCCTTTCAAGGTGGGATTTATCAGCGGGGACCTGGGGAAGCAAACAGTCAGGTGCCCGCATGTGCAGAATTATGAAAAAGTTATCGGCTTCTTAAGTCCATCTAAGAGGGAGGATGGCGCACAGAATAATACATTATCATGAAGAACTAGGAGAAGCCATGCTTCATGGACAGGCATCAGATTGTCCACTGAGAGGGATATTTCTAAATTACAGGCTGTGGCATGTAACAAATTTAAAAGATAAGAGGCATTAGTTGATTAACATAGGATATTAAATGTTGTTATTATAGCCCTATGCTTTCCCACCCATAGCCTTATGGTAAAATAATAGAAAGAAATAATATAAATATTCCAGTAGTAGCTCCTCCCCAACCCCAGCTGATACAACCACAACCCAGCTCCAATATTTAACTCTGAAAGTGAATGGAACATCAAATGGTTCAGGAGCACCATGGGAGAATGGAAAGACTGAGTCGGAATGCCTGCTGTGAGAGAGTGTATGACAGAGAAGCTGTACCTGCGAAGTGTTAACAATTTGGTCATTTAGAGAATGCCTGAGAAATGACAAAAGCTGTTGACATGCCAACGTGGATGCAGAAAGTCTAATAAACCCCAATCCCTAGATGGAGAGTTATAGACTATTTGTGGTCACTGAGAGAGGGAGAATCAGTCTTCAGGGAGCAACCTCCTAATAGGCTATCCAATCCCAAGCAGTCAGGCCTAAACTGTAGCTGGAGAATTTCTCTCCAGCTCCCACTAAGTCCCACCAGTCCCGGAGCCCACTTATAAAATAAACATACAGACTCTTACATTATTTAAACTGCTTGGCCATTAGCTCATGCCTATCATTGTCTAGCTCTTACTCTTATATTTAGCCCATTTTTATTAATCTATACTTTGTCACATGGCTTATCAGTACCTTACATCTTCCTTGTCCTGGTGGTGGCTCCAGGCAGTTCCTCCTCTCCCTTCCTGTTTCCTCTTTTCTCTTCTCTGTTAGTCCCGCCTATACTTCCTGCCTGGCCACTGGCCAATCAGTGTTTATTTATACAGAGCAACACCCACAGCACTTCTCCTTTTTTTTTTTTTTTTTCAAAAAGGAAGGTTTTAACTTTAACATAGTAAAAACATATAACAAAACAATTATCGAGCAAGAATTACAGTTACAATATTAAAGAAGATATCTTATTTATCTTATATTTGTGAGTTTAAGGTTTTATATCTAACTTATCTTTTATCATGGCTAAGGAAAATTGTAACTATCTAGTTTCAACTACATTAAAGACTTCAGAAGGATATAATATTACCTGAGAAATGGGAGAAACATTAGGTGACTGTCCAGGCTTCCAGCTGTCTCGGTCTACTCTTGCAAGATTCCTGAAAGTTGCTAGTATCCATCTACCATTTCTCAGGTACCATTATATTCCTTCTCGGGTCTTTGATGGGATTGAAGACTATCAGTTATAGTTATAACTTAGTACATATATAATATCTTAGATATAACATATTAAGTATTAGACTCAGGTTCTTTAGGATAGGACACCGTTTGGAATGATCTTTGTAACATAACTCTAGACTTCTTTGGATTTTAGTATGTGTTTCTTGCTTGGTATTGTGCTCATTGATTGTAGTTCCATCTTATCTAGGTCATTATCCCTCATTACTCCTGGACAATATTTGATAACCATTCCTTTGCATATAGTCTTGTATTAAGTTAGAACCTTCTTATTTAGACAAAAAGAGGGGAGATGTAGTGGGTAGCCATTCCAGCTTTGGTCTGGAAGTTCCAACCCCCACTGAGGCTTTGGTAACTATCACGCCTACAAGGCTGGGCGAAGGGAGGGCCCTGAAGATCTGAGATCGGGCTGTGCCACGCTCTCTTCCTTCTTTTACTGTGGAAGCTAGAGGTAGATGGAGGAGAGTTGTCCAGAGAACACTGCCAGACTGCGCTGCATCTTTCACAGAACCCGCAACCTACCTATCCCTTCATTTGTAAGTTATGCCATTAAATAAATCTCCCTTTTAACTATGTGGAGTGGCCTTAATAATTTCACTGATACTAAACACATACACATAATGGGTAACAGCAAATGAATTCAGGAGACTAGATTTGTATGTACATACACACATATTTGTATGCATACGCATGTAACAATAATAATTACAGAAGCAGTCATGATTTTGAGGGGGAGAGGGGGCACATGGGAGGAGTTGGAAGGGGTTGAGGAAGGGGAAGGAATTATGTAAGTACAGTACTCATATAAAATTCTCAATTTTTTTTAAATTGATGGATGAAATGTGAGGATGAATTATGAGAGATAGAAGTCAGGGGAAACAGGGCTTGGGGCCTTAAGGTTTATTTGTTGGTTTGTTTTGAGACAGGATCTCAATGAGTAGCAATGGCTGGCCTGAAATTTGCTATGTAGACCAGGCTGCCCTCAAACTACCAGAGATCCAGTGGCTTTTGCCTCCCAAGTGCTGGAATTAATGTCATTCAATTAAGGGATCAAATAGTTATTTGCTAAGACGAGAAGCACTAGATAGCAGATTCTCAGAGGTAAGAGAAGCTGATAAAGGCACATCAGGAGGAAAGCGAGCAAACATCTGGAAGACAGGGCTGTCGGCTTAGAGAGAGGCTGTTAGCAGGCTAATGATGTGAGTGACTGGGAAGTGAAAGTGAAATTTAGGAAAGCAGGAGGCAGGCCTGGTCCCAACAAGAACTACTTATGTGGAGGGGAAATTCAGCCCAAGAGAGACTGTTCTTGTTTTTCTTTAAAATGGGAGGCTTTGCAAAAAAATAAAAATAAATAAAAAATAAATAAAAATAAAAAAGGCATACTATGTATGTAATTCTTACGAGAAAATTAATAATATTTTAAAGAAAAGTCAAGATGATTTCTTCTGTGTCAGTGGGGAAGATACAAGTCTTTCCTTGTATCAGAAGATACAAAGAGCATAAGCCTATCTGAGTAGAGGGGTGTGGGAATTTTATTTTGATGGTGTGTCTGAGAAAGGTGAACTAAAGTTAAGTTCTCATAATGTGGAGTGTAAAAGAGGAGTTGGAGAGTCCAAGAAGGAAAATATAACCTACATTGCTGACGTCCATATTGTCAGCCAAATTCAAATATGTACACATTTAAAATAAAGTGCATCCAATTTTCTCACATTTTATAAACAGGGGTTCCTGATTTTGTTTACATTACCTTTTGTTTGTAACACATTGATTCATAAATACATATTTTACAAGAGTCAATGAAACAGAGGTGGAAAAGGAAGGAAAGGCAGGGGAAGTGACTGAGCAAGACCCTAGAGTGAGGAGGGGGTGTGGGCCTGAGAGCACAGGGCATTGGCTGGTCTCATATGGGAGTGATAAAGACAGACATGATACAGATGTGGGTACAGGGAATAGTTTGGTTCTTCATAGAATCGATTTTCTCAGGTGAGAGATACATAGCCAAGAATGATGGAAACAATGAGATGGAGTAGACATGATAAACAGAACAATTTGGATTTGGAAGAGCTCCTGGGGGTGGGGGGAGCAAAGGATGCTTGCTGAGCAAGTGTGTGCCAAGGAGGACTAAGGGTCTCTGCTTCTCCTCTTGAGCTCTGATTGTGTATATTTTGTGAGTCAACAGCCCATATGGTTACCTGATTTTCTCTAGAATTCTCTAAAGCTAAAAGATAAATGGCTTTTTTTTTTTAAATGGAAGCCAGCCTTCTTCATGAACAAGAAGCACATGGGAGAAGAAAAATCCAGGCTGGCTATCCGATGTAAAGGTAACACTTGTGGAATATTAAATACATATTCATTGATTCAGCCACTCAACAAAAGATTACAGAACATCTTCTATATGCTACAAGTTAAAAAAAAAAAAGTAGCCTATAGTCAAATGGGAATAAGATAGTAATCAGATTAGCTCACAAATAAATGGGAAATTGCAAAGTGATCCCCCTGCAAAGGAAGAGAGGAAGGATCCATAATGGCATTTAATAATGACTTTACTCCCTTGGAGGGATGCACTGAGAAAGCTGCCCACAGGGTAGGAGTGAAGTCTGCCGCACACAACTCTGAAGGCTGAGTAGGAGCCGCGCAGAGGAAAATGGTGTGCACACTGTACCCTGGGTGGAACAAACAACATATGTACACACCAGAGCTGGGAGGTAGAGAAAGCACAGGCAGTGCTCTGGGCTGAGCGCCAGCAAGAGGAAGAGGAGCTGGGTAATAAAACACAGCAGGGTTGACAACCGCGTTAATATTGTCCCTTGGTGCTGAAGGCAAAGAGAGACAAGGAACTTTTCAGCAGGATGACCGTATATGCAGAAGTGACCGAGGCAAGAAGTGAATGCTTACAGGAGGTACTTGAAACCAAAATCGTAGAGTTTTGTGATGGATTTGATAAAAAGTGTGAGAGAACTGGGGGCAATACAGCCACCTGGCTTCACTGTCTTTCTTGACAGGACAGATGATACACTCATAGGTTTGTGGAAGAAGACCAAGAATTCAGATCCTGTCATATGAAAATTATAACAGTAAGA